AGGTCCTTACCCACGAAGGCGTATGCTACCAGGACTTCTGCTAGTCTCAAAGGTGCCACAGGACCCTCTGTTGCTTTTTACAGATTCAGACTAACACGGCTACCCCTCTGATTCTAGCCCTTGTGGTTTGCAAAGGAAAACGTTAAAGAACATCAGAACGGCCAGCCTGGGTCAGAGCAAAGACCCATCCAGCCCAGTGTCCTGTCTCCTGACAGTGGCCAGTGCCAGGTGCCCCAGAGTGAATGAACAGAACAGGGAATCATCAAGTGATCCATCCCCTGTCACCCATTCCCTGCTTCTGGCAAACAGAGACTAGGGACACCATCCCTGCCCGTCCTGGCTAATAGTCATTGATGGACCTATCCTCCGTGAACTTATCTAGTTCTTTTTTGAACCCTGTGATAGTCTTGGCCTTCACAACATCCTCTGGCAAGGAGTTCCATGGGTTGACTGTGCGTTGTGTGAAGAAATACTTCCTTGTATTTGTTTTAAACCTGCTGCCTATTAATTCCATTGGGTGACCCCTAGTTCTTGTGTTATGAGACGGAGTAAATAACACTTCCTTAGTCACTGTCTCCACACCAGCCATGATTTTATAGACTTCTAGCATATCCCCCCTTAGTCGTCACTTTTCCAAGCTGAAAAGTCCCAGTCTTATTAATCTCTCCTCATACAGCAGCCGTTCCATCCCCCTAATCATTTCTGTTGCCCTTTTCTGAACCTCTTCCAAATCCAATATATGTTTTTTAAGATGGAGCAACCACATCTGCATGTAGTATTCAAGGATGAATACTGGATTTATACCATGGATTTATATAGAGGCAATATGATATTTTCTGTCTTATTTTCTATCCCTTTCTTAATGATTCCCAACATTCTGTTCGCTTTTTTGACTCCGCTGCACATTGAGTGGATGTTTTCAGAGAACTTTCCACAGTGACTCCAAGATCTCTCTCTTGAGTGGTAACAGCTAATTTAGACCCCATCATTTTATACGTATAGTTGGGATGATGGTTTCCAATGTGCGTTACTTTGCATTTATTAACACTGAATTTCATCTGCCATTTGGTTGCCCAGAGGATGTGTGGGCATGTGTCTGCAGGGGGTGAGCGGGGAAGCTACTGCCCTTGGGCCGGAGCTGGGCTCCGGGGGCTGGGGATGAGCAGACAGGCTGGGACCCCCCCGGGGGACTCGCTCCGCTGACAGACAAGCGGACGTGGGAGGGAAATTGACCCGGGTTCCAGCTTCCACCTCCCGTCAGGTGAGAGCAATTTGCTGACGCATCTAGCCCTGGGGCAGGAGACTGCGCACCCCCGGCGTAGAGAGCTGGGCTGCAGGTCAGGACCGAGGGGCACCAGCAGAGCTAGAGAAAATCTCTCCTGTTTCTTGCCCACGCTCCCGTCTGTCTCTGACACTCCAGCTCTGTGCAGCTGACGGAACTTTTTCCTTTTCTTGTCCCCCGCCCCCAGTACCAGGGAAGAATCCAAAGCCCCTTTCCCTGCCGGCTGGGAGGGGGAGGAGGGGAAGGGCCTGGTTGGCAGGCTAAGGCCGAATTTAGGCTACAGTTGCTGGGCCGGAGACTGGGCAGCTGAGACTGGCAATGAAAGGAACCAATAATGAGCCAAGAGCAGCTCCCAGATTTTCCCTCTGCTCCGGCCGAGGCTGAGAACCGCTGGGGCCAGGCAGAGGTCCACGGGGAGCAGAGGAGCTGGCGGGAGCAATATCCCTTAGGACTCTGGGAGCCAGGACTCCTGGATTCTCGCTCTGCCACTAAGAGGGGAGTGGGGGCTAGTGGTTAGAGCAGGGTGCTGGACACCTGGGTTCTATTCCCAGGACTCTGTCATCCAGGCTGGAGATTGGGGGTGAATCCTGGATCCCTCTCCCACTGGGCCTCCACCCTTTGGGAGCATTTCCCCTTTCTGCCTTCCCTGCAGCCATGAACCCAGCCCCCCTCAGGCCCCCAGGGGCCGCTGGTGGCTGAAATGTGATGATCAGCCCTGCAGGAGCTCCTGTGTGGCAGGGGGTGGGTGGGTGGCCAGATGAGGGAATCTCTCGCCGGCTGCGTTCCCGTTCGGTGCCCGCGCAGCACCCGGCTCCTGTGACAGTCCAAGAAAAACAGTAATTTGCCAGTTAGACGCCTCCCCCGGCTGCTGGGAAGGGGGCGGAACTGGCACCGTTATCAGCACTCACCATGCCGCCTGGCACACTGGGTGCGCAGAGCCGGGCACGGGTTTGTTATTGTAGAGTGCAC